CCCCTACCCTGGGGGTCTTCAAGAGGAGGTTAGATAAGCATCTAGCTGGGGTCATCTGAACCCAGCACTCTTCCCTGCCTATGCAGGGGGTCGGACTCAATGATCTATTGAGGTCCCTTCCGACCCTAACATCTATGAATCTATGAACCTATGAGCAGAAGCTATGATCGTTATCATGTGTGTTATTGCAGAACACAAGACCCATTGTAGCAGCCATGGAAAGACACCAGAACCGAAATGTGGTTCCTGCCCCAGAGAGCTTACAATCTAAGGAACTGAGAGAGAGAGAGAGAGGAGTACAAGTACAAAACTGAACAAGATTTCTCAGGGGATTGTCAGTGTTTTCATCACACCAACAGTAATGAATATGTAATATAGGGGATATACCCACACTATAAATACCACAAATGAGCTAGCATGTATTTATGATGGAAACCAACCAGAAAAAAGGAGGAGTGTGAGAATAGTGGGAATGATGATTTGTTTTCCATTTTTCTAAACACTCGCCACTCCTGCACTTTGATGAGCTCCTTAATTAGGCAGGAACTGAAAAACGAAGCCAAGAACATCAAGCGGGGTCTCACAACGTGCTACGCTGGGCTTCATTCACCACTGATGTGCTGAACTTGAACGGGTGCTGATACACAGGAGTTAAGCCCAGGTGATTCCCATGCTCCCTTCTGTCCCGTCCATGAACCCATAGAAGTGGTTCACCAGGGCCTGACTTCAACTCAGTTGAAAAGTCTGTCATTAAAGAGACTGGACCACACAACTCACCACCACGAGTCCCCTTATAGCTTGTGGATGTGGGGAGAGTCAAACCTGGCAGTATTCATGTTTTCCAGCTGAAGAGCGATCTTGAATATCTTCTCCCAGAGTGCAGCAAAGACATGCAAGGGTGTCCTCATCGTCATTATATCACAGGGAGATGTCCCTTAGCAGTGAACATCTCTCAGTCACATCTTCCTTAGCACAAAGACTCTGGCAATCCCCTTGCGGATCTGCTTTGTTTTAATACTATATATGATGGGGTTTAGCACAGGGGGGACAAGCAGGTAGATGTTTGCCATGAGGACATGAACCAGTGGAGAAGCGTGGTGGCCAAACCGGTACACCAGAGATAAGCCAATCATGGGGATGTAGAGTGCTAGCACAGCAAAGATGTGGGACAGACAGTTGTTGAGGGACTTCAGACGTTCCTTCAAGGATGCAATGCCCAGGATTGTCTTAAAAATCAAAGCATAGGACACCACAATGAGCAAAGGGTCTAATATCATTATAATGGAAACTAGAACTAACCCATACAGTCTGTTGAATGTGGTGTCTGCACACGCCAGCCGCATCAGATCCTGGTGCAGACAGTACGGATGGGACAGCACACGGGACTTATGAAATGGCAACCTTCTCAGCATGAGCGCTAGCGGCAGTGGCAGAAATGCGCTCCTGCCCAGAATAGCCAGGCCTATCATGGCGATTCTGGCATTGGTGAGGATGGAGGCATATGCCTATCATGGCGATTCTGGCATTGGTGAGGATGGAGGTGTATCTCAGAGGCTTGCAGATGGCCACATAGCGGTCAAAGGACATGGCGAGGAGCACAGAGGACTCTATGAAGGAGAAAAAGTGAACAAAACAAAACTGAGCAAAGCAGGCTTCAAAGCCAATTTCTCTGGAGTTCAACCAGAATAGTTTGAGCACCGTTGGCATCGTAGAGAGCGACAAGCCCAGATCGGTGAGGGCCAGCATAGAGAGGAAATAGTACATGGGCTCATGCAGGCTGGAGTCTGTCTTGATGACAAACAGGATCGTGCAGTTGCCTACCAGTGCGACAAGGTAAATGGAAGAGAAGGGGATGGAGAGCCAGGCGTGTTCTGCTTCCAGCCCGGGGATGCCCGTCAGGATGAACATGAACAGGGTGGAGTTGGTGCCACTGAGACACGACATGATGCACTTGAGAAGAGCTGCCCTGAAAGTTAGAAGATGGAGGCACCTACAGAGGAGAGGAAAACAGATATATTGAAGCAATAATGGATCATTTTCAACATCTTGTGACCTAAGGTCGTCTGGAAGGCTTGTTTTGGCCCTAACGATACAGCAAGTCAGTAAGGCGTACGTTTCTTTGTTATGCCTTTTCTTTGACTCACTCAATAGCTGGGATGCAGCTTAGATGAACCTTTGGGAAGAAAAATCATTTTCTCAGGCACCGGAGAAGCAGCAGCTACATCTGGTATTTACTGAAGGACAGATCTGCTGCTTTCCCATGCTGGAGGAATGACATCTTGTGCCTGAAAATGCATGTAACATCTCCCCCTATTATAGAGCTTGTCCAATAAAAGATATTATCAAGATGTTAGCAGTATTATCATATTGCTCCTGAATTAGTACACAGAAGTACACCAAACAGAATAAGAGAACAGGTTTCAGATCCAAAATAGCTGAGTTCCTCGTGTCAAGTTTATTCTACTAATGCACTCCATAATACATAGTATTTTATCCCAGTTTTCTTCATCAAACCTTAAGAGGTAAGTGATCTGGGACTACTCAGCTGGAGGAAGAAAAGACTGAGAGGGGACGTGGTGGCCATCTATCAGTATGTAATGTGTGACTATTGGGAGCTGGGAGATAAACTGTTCACTAGGGCACCCCAGGGAAGACAAGGAGCAATGGCCAAAAACTGTTAGAGGATGGTTTCAGGTTGGATTTAAGGAAGAACTTGCTTACAATAAGTAGACTTCCCAAGGAGGTGGTGCAGTCCC